ATAGTATATATATATAGTATATGTATAAACTGCCCTGTGAAAGCTATGTCTCGAAATATTATTAAAATGATATGAGAACTGATATCAGACATTTAACCAATTTGGTTTTCCAAGAAAATGAAATAATCCGAATTTTTAAGAAATAAAATCATGTGTATGAAAAACAGTGAGAGAGCAGAGAGACGTCTCCTTTCATCAGGACTCAGCTGAGACACCAACAAATATTTAATCAGGACTTTACTTGTCATCAGCTTAAAAATCAGAGTCATTCACCGCAGCTCCCACACAGTGATAATAACCACATTATCACGTACAACTACACAACGTTGCCAGTGGCTGTGGCTCAGGAGGCAGAGAGGATCATCTACTAATCAGACGGTTGATAATTTGATTCCCGGCTCCTCTGGTCTGCGTGTCGAAGTGTCCCTGGGCAAGATACTGAACCCCAAAGGGCCTGATGTATCATTTGTGTGTGTGTGTGTGTGTGTGTGTGTGTGTGTGTGTGTGTGTGTGTGTGTGGAGTAACGGTTCTGAAGACCCCAGCCTCTTGGGGTCTTAAACGTATTTTAGTAGCAACTGCTGCTTTAAGTTCTTTTTAAACACAGACGGAGATGCTGATGTTTATCAAGCTCATCCCACACCTGTGGACCTCTGCAGACCACACTAAAACTCTACATTTAAGTTTACCTTTCTCACCCTTTATAAGATGCTTTTTTCTCATCTTGTATGTTTGCGAGGGAACACAGATAGCAAAAAATAAATCGGGCCCGTACTTGCATGCTTGTTTTTCTTCTGGCCCAGTCTACGCCCCGGTTCCACTGCCCGAATCTAGCCCATGTAAAGCACGATTGTCAGGTGCTGCTTCCACATCTGGACCAATTCTGGCATACACAGAACATCTTCTGGCTGTCAGCCAACATTGGAGGATAACAGCTGGAGTCTGCCCAGATGTGGAAGTATATTGGGGCAGATTCAGGCCGAGGACCCAGGGATATGAAGGGCAGAAGTTTAATTTTGCTTTTATACATAACAACAGCCTTGTGAAAGGATATCACATTCAGTGGCGCTTCAAAAACACAAGAGTAAGAGTGGAAGAGAGGGTCAGTGGGAGCGTTTACTGTGGACCATACATCT